ATTATGCCTACTGCCTACGCTTTGGTTCTTCATTTAAGGATTGCACAGTTTCTTGTCATTGTTCCGCTTGCTAACGCAGAAGTGGAGGGTGTTGAACATTCTGAGACGCCTTGGGTATTTGCAGACATGCCCTCAGGTGGAGTATGAGAAGGACGCGCCGGATCTCCACACCAAGCTGTTTGCAAAGATCCCGTGCCTCGACGCCAAGCATGATGAAATCCTGAGCCGCCCCTTTGCGGCCCCTCTAAACCGCAATTGCCTGCAGCCAATCAGATGCGGCCCCTAAACCCTAAACCCTAAACCCTAAACCCTAAACCCTAAACCCTAAACCCTAAACCCTAAACCGTTGGGCGAGTCCTCGGGATGGCATGCCGAATTTGGAGTGCTGCCCACACCGCTCGTCTGGCCAGCCCCCGCAGAAGAAAAGGCTGTCAAGTACTGATCACTACAAGTTTAAAGCGTCCCTTCCTTGAGGTGGGTTTTTGATACCACTTGGAGGTTCATGGGTAGTCAAAAGGTTATGAGAATCGAAACTATGGGTTTAAACCCCATTGAGGGTACTTGAAACCCAACTTATTGCTACCCATGAACCCCAAGCAGGGGAAGCGAGGGGCAGCTCCGCTTCAGGTTTCCGCTGGCTGGGAACACGCTGTCGGATCGGATGGCCTCCTCTGTGATGCAGTGGCGCAGCCGCACGGGAGCCCAAATTTCCATTTTGGGAGCCTCTAAACCCTAAACCCCGCCCCAAGCTCAAAGCTTGTCGAGATACTGGGGTTGAGGGAGCTTGCTTGGAAGCCCTTGTGACTTAGTACGTCGACTGTGTATCCCCTAGAAACCCGACCATAATCCCCATAACCCACCTTCCTAACCCTACTTAGGGGCAAGCTACGCAGTCAAGCCCCTTACCCCAAACACACATCAGCACCCGCATCTGTTCGAAGGGCATCGGGCCTAACCCCACCTGCTGCTGTTGGAAGTTAGTTTCATGGACAAGCTTGAGCTACTTAGGTTGGGATGTTACCCCTTATACTAACCGTCCTTAATAAGGATTATCATAGGGGGGTACTAGAATCCCTCTTAAGGACTGTTAGAATAGCGGGAAACATCCCAATACTTAAAGGTTATTTAGGGTTCTTGGCTTGGGTTTTTGTTGGATTGGAGGCCTCAACCCGAAACCCTAAACCCTAAACCCTAAACCCTAAACCCCTAGAATGAAGAGTCAGCATTCGAGGTCGGGCTCTGAGATCGGCGAGATCAATGCCCAGCGGATGCTCGAGTTGCTTTCCTAACCCTAACGGCCAAGCACGTTGAATGTTCTACGGCGCAGGTGTGAACCCGAACCTTTCTAACCTAACACTTTGTAAGAATTCGGAAAGCAGCCGGTGTAGAACCCTGAACCCGAACCTTTATAACCTAACACTTTGCAAGAATTCGGAAAGCAGCTGGTGTAGTACGGGCTCCCAGGATGTTTCGGAGAGGGGAAGAGAGCGCCCCTTTTGCAGGAGGCTTTCTTTCATTAAGGTGCTAAGTAGGGCGCTTATTTCGGGTTTAATTAGGAGGTTAGGCCCGATACCGTTTTAGCAAGGGGCTCGTCCTCCCCGCCCTGCAGCCAGACCCTGAGCTCTTCTGAACTTGGGGACCAAATGAATCCCAAAACTGGGGTCATAATACCCTGTACTACTACACCTCCGATTCAGGGGTTCATGAGCCCCAAACCCTTTTAGGGTCCCTTTTGGCCCCTTAGGAAGGCACGAAACCCCAAGCCGCGGAAAGCCCTGTGAGGTCGCGCCTCCCATTCCAGATCCCGCGGCACCTCGATGGTGACACTATCATAGAACTAGTAGGAATAAACAATAACAATATCAACGTTCAATTCAACCTAATACTAAAGTTACTAAACATAAATAGTGCTGCCTGGCTTGACGACTTAGGCCGAGTAGACTAACTGCACGTCGTAGCACCTTCACCCTGCGCGAGGCCATGCTCAGGTGCCTGAAGGCCACAGGCGCTTTAAGAAAAAATTGAAGGCCCTAAACCCTAAGCCCTTGGTTCACAGTGCAGTTGTGCTCAGTTGCTCAGACTCAGAGACAGCGCCGAGTAAACCCTTGGCGTCATGCATGCGGCCACGCCCAAGCTTAAGCCTAAACCCAATAAGGTACTACTTCGGCGATGTCTCCAACGCCACCCGGCCTGAACTTTCAGAAGAAGGCACCAATGGGGACATTAAGGTAGAACAAGTGATCGCTCCCTTCATTCCTAATGCATGAATTCTCTACTTTTCTTTGCCCGGCTGTGTGGTCATGAAGATACCAAAGAGGTGAAAGGAAAATATGATTGAAAGGGAGTGAATGCGTGAAGATAAGCCGAAGGAGAGAACACGTCCATTAAAATCTGCTGCATTTGTGGGGGATTTTGTAGGCCCCTGGAATGAACCCCCTTGGGGGGAACTCTGTGCTTCCAGGGATGAAAACTCGTAGCCGTACGGTTGTACCCCACATGGTTTTCCCTTAATGTGCCCCGAACATGGCCCTTAGATGATCTTAAGAGTCTTTCTAACAGCTTCCCCAAACCCAAGGGTACCACCCTGAGAGATCCAGCGATTCGCCCCTTGCGTGCCGTGAAGCCCAGGAGACGTCGAACTGGATCCTGATCACTGAGCGGATACCTTTCGGGCTGAAGGATTCACTCCTTGGGGGTTTTTCCGTACGCCCCGCACGCAAAACAGCTCAACCCTAAACCCTAAAAACCGAAGCCCGTTAAGCCCCAAGCGGCAACATTCTGAAAGTTGTGTGTTTGAAGTTCCGGCCGCGCCCTTCTGAGTAAACAATCCGGATGGTCGTCGCAAAGGTTGGCATCTAGCTCCCCTAGGTAACCAGACAGGTGAGAGTTGGGATCTTCCCCCTTATACCAACACGTCTTCAAAAAGGGATATAGTACCCCTTATTCGAACCCCTGTTGAGGACTGTTAGTTCTAAGGGAGAACATCCCAAAGTGAGAGTTCAGAAGACACCTCCGAGCCCTGCACCGTGAAATCCTAGTACTGCTGCTGGCGCCTCAGCTCTTCTTTGTCATAGTTGGGTAACATTTTACATTTTTAAGGGTACTTTAACCCAATAAGGAATATAAATTTAAAATTTTAATATTACCCCAACAATGAACAAGTCTTGATCTGTTCTCACACCCTCATCCCGATTCATTCTTTAAACCCCAAACCCCTTTTAGACGTGGTGGGGCATTTCAGACGCCGGGTTTCCTGGGCTGATGAGAACCCAACCGGAAGCTGATGAGGGGCCTGAGCAACCGATAAACCTTAAGCTGCCCTAATCTGCTTAAGAGGCCCACCATGAAAATCAGATAATAATCCCTATGTTGTTGTGTTTGTTAGTTATTAAGCAAATCGTAGTCGAGAAATGGTTCAGAAGCTGTGCCTTCAATTTCTGGGCACCCAGGCACTCACGTCATCATATCCAGTAACCTTACCATATTATACCGCATTCCATTATTTGTAGCATGATCTTACATTAAATAAATAACTGAATTTAAAATGTGATACCGGTGCGTAAACTAACTTGCCCGAAGACGGCCACCCGCTAAATCGCAGTGTGCGAGGACGGCGACCGCAAGATGGATCCGGCTTATGACAAGATGAAGGACCGCGCGAGAGAGCCGCGCGGGTTTAGGGTTTAGGGTTTAGGGTTTGAGGTGCCGGCATGGCTCTCAGACCGGGTTCAAAAGGGAACAGCCTGTGCAAAAGGGGTTGAGGGAACACTACACAGCCAAAACCTCAGGTTCTCTGAGCCCAGTTCACAGACGGTTTCGCCATGTTGGCATGCAAAGTAGGCTTGTCCCTGATGTACCCCAATTAGAGTAATAATCTCTTCTATAAGCACCCCCAAGAACAGGCCCCTAGTTTTTCGGAACGTTATTGTGTGCCGTTTAGAGCCTGTTCAGTATGAGTGGCAGGGGATGTTCCCAGCTTTGAACCCCTAAACCCGAAACCCTAAACCCTAAACCCTAAACCCTAAACCAGGACTGGGAGCTCAAGGGCACCATGGAAGAGTACTACTTCCTGCTCGTGAAGAAGGGAGCGCGGATGGCAGGCATGGACAAGGCTGGGTTTAGGGTTTAGGGTTTGGGACTCTGGAGCCCTTCGGGGAAAAACCGTTCACGGGAAAAGGGGTTTGGGGTGTAGGGGTTTAGGGTTTACGCCAGCTCACGCATCCTCCGGGTGTGCTAAGCCCACCACTGCGTGCATGTTGCTCAATAACTACCCGAAGACCCTGCGATCCAAATGCGTGATGGTTAGGCAGAGAAGCTCGCACCACGTGCTGCCATGGCCCTCCTGCAGCACTTATGCCGGAGAGTGGAGAGTGGAGGTGTGTGAGTGCTGCGGGCTCAAGCGCAAGCGTGGCATGGTGGAACATATCAGATCCAGAGGTCATAGGGCAGATTGCTAGCGTCGGCTCTTGTGCTTTGCTGCATGCCTGAGTCCCCACCGCAGCATTTGGCTGAGAGACAGCGAAAGCCCCGACAGCGTTGCTGTGCACATTTTTGCTGGGGCCGCCATGCCAGCCTTGTCGAACTCTCGTCCCAGGAGCAGCCGCGTGCGCGGCTTCGCCCTGCTTGCACTTGGTGTGCTTGCGCTTTGGAACTTCGAGGGGCAGACCGCGTTCGGCAAAGCACCAGTCGTAGTAGAGGAGACCGAGGCGTCTGGCTTGACCAAGGCAGTCGCGGATCACGCCCTCCTGGTGTCGACGTTGCTGATGATCGCCTGCGGTGCTTTTGCGTACACCGAGAAGGGGCTGCCGCAAGCAGCGGGTCCGGCCGAGAAGCGCCCGGACTACAACAGCTTCCTGATGATCCAGAACATTCTTTGCTTCGCATCTGGCTATGTGAACGCTTTGGCCATTATCGACATGGGTATGACGGTCTCTCACCAGAGTGGCAACACCAGCCACACGGGACGCTTCTAGTCCAACAGAGACTCAGGCGTCAGCCATTGTTTTTTTTTAAGACTTAAACTCAGTTCAGACTTGAGTGCCTCTTTGTTCGGGGATGTCTAGCCAGACTCTAGCTAGTGGAGTCCAGCCAGTCTAGCTGTCTGTCCAACACATAGGTTTGATCTTGAATGGGGGCGCAAAGTTCTTCCACTTGATGCTCACCTTCTGCATCGGCTCCTTCGTGGCCGGCTTGAGCAAGTGCGACCAGGAGGCCGTGCCAGGGCTCCAGAAACTAACCTGCGGGCGGTGGGCTGCACGTGTCTGAGGCAGCTTGAGAAGGCACCTGAATGCTTACTAACCCCCAACAAACCTCCCGCGAACCTCCCACGATGAACTAAGCCCCCAGGCCGTGTACCAGGGACGCTACTCGCCTAACCTGTTGGCCGCAGCCTTTGCTACGGTGTTTGGCTGCGGGGTTCACTACTGCAAGGCTGAGGCCGGCCTTGGCAACGACGCAGCCTCCGAGAGCTTGTTGCTGTGGGCCTTTGCGCAGGGCATCCAGAACGGCATCACACGAAGGTGCAGCTCCCTGCCGATCTGCACCACGCACTTCACCGGCTACCTCACCGACGTTGGCGTTGGCCTGGGCCTGTGGGCACGCGCGCAGGCAGACGGCGCCGAGCCGCCCACCCTGCTGAAGGTCCTCCTCTTCGCGGCCGGCATCTTCTTCTTCGGCCTTGGTGGTGTGGCGGCCATGGAGACCCACCCCATCTGGGGCGCACAGGCAGCATTGGTCCCCGCCGCGATCATGGCGGCTGTGGCTGGTGGCCTCATCCCCGTCATCAAGACGCCTGCCAAGACCGCCTGAGCCTGAGCCGTCCTTAGAGCCCGCAGGGCAGATTTTTCCAGAGGCCGACCAGGCCTACGGCAATTTCACTGCGGCCGCTTATTCTGAGCTGCGGCACACGTCTGCAAGGAAAAGCTTGGCTGTTTAAACGCCCTGCCGAAGCGTCACTGACGACATGATCGGCACCAGCTGATCTCAGACTCCGTAGACCCACCCGGCTCGAAAAACCGGAGACAGTGATGATCCTACAGGTTACTGTGGCTAGCTTGTGACTCTTTCTTGACTATTTCATGATACCGCACTGCAACAGTCCAGTCCAATCTCTGTGGACCTGTCTTTGACCTCAACAGCATTCCTGAGAGCCATCCCGACAGCAGCATTTGGCTGAGAGACAGCGAGAGCCCCGACAGCGTTGCTGTGCACATTTTTGCTGGGGCCGCCATGCCAGCCTTGTCGAACTCTCGTCCCAGGAGCAGCCGCGTGCGCGGCTTCGCCCTGCTTGCACTTGGTGTGCTTGCGCTTTGGAACTTCGAGGGGCAGACCGCGTTCGGCAAAGCACCAGTCGTAGTAGAGGAGACCGAGGCGTCTGGCTTGACCAAGGCAGTCGCGGATCACGCCCTCCTGGTGTCGACGTTGCTGATGATCGCCTGCGGTGCTTTTGCGTACACCGAGAAGGGGCTGCCGCAAGCAGCGGGTCCAGCCGAGAAGCGCCCGGACTACAACAGCTTCCTGATGATCCAGAACATTCTTTGCTTTGCATCTGGCTATGTGAACGCTTTGGCCATTATCGACATGGGTATGACGGTCTCTCACCAGAGTGGCAACACCAGCCACACGGGACGCTTCTAGTCCAACAGAGACTCAGGCGTCAGCCATTGTTTTTTTTAAGACTTAAACTCAGTTCAGACTTGAGTGCCTCTTTGTTCGGGGATGTCTAGCCAGACTCTAGCTAGTGGAGTCCAGCCAGTCTAGCTGTCTGTCCAACACATAGGTTTGATCTTGAATGGGGGCGCAAAGTTCTTCCACTTGATGCTCACCTTCTGCATCGGCTCCTTCGTGGCCGGCTTGAGCAAGTGCGACCAGGAGGCCGTGCCAGGGCTCCAGAAACTAACCTGCGGGCGGTGGGCTGCACGTGTCTGAGGCAGCTTGAGAAGGCACCTGAATGCTTACTAACCCCCAACAAACCTCCCGCGAACCTCCCACGATGAACTACGCCCCCAGGCCGTGTACCAGGGACGCTACTCGCCTAACCTGTTGGCCGCAGCCTTTGCTACGGTGTTTGGCTGCGGGGTCCACTACTGCAAGGCTGAGGCCGGCCTTGGCAACGACGCAGCCTCCGAGAGCTTGTTGCTGTGGGCCTTTGCGCAGGGCATCCAGAACGGCATCACACGAAGGTGCAGCTCCCTGCCGATCTGCACCACGCACTTCACCGGCTACCTCACCGACGTTGGCGTTGGCCTGGGCCTGTGGGCACGCGCGCAGGCAGACGGCGCCGAGCCGCCCACCCTGCTGAAGGTCCTCCTCTTCGCGGCCGGCATCTTCTTCTTCGGCCTTGGTGGTGTGGCGGCCATGGAGACCCACCCCATCTGGGGCGCACAGGCAGCATTGGTCCCCGCCGCGATCATGGCGGCTGTGGCTGGTGGCCTCATCCCCGTCATCAAGACGCCTGCCAAGACCGCCTGAGCCTGAGCCGTCCTTAGAGCCCGCAGGGCAGATTTTTCCAGAGGCCGACCAGGCCTACGGCAATTTCACTGCGGCCGCTTATTCTGAGCTGCGGCACACGTCTGCAAGGAAAAGCTTGGCTGTTTAAACGCCCTGCCGAAGCGTCACTGACGACATGATCGGCACCAGCTGATCTCAGACTCCGTAGACCCACCCGGCTCGAAAAAGCAGCTTACTGTGGCTCCGTGGAAGTTTGACTCTTTCTTGGCCTTGACTCTTGACTCTGTCATGGTACTCCAGGTGCAACAGTCCAGTCCGACAGGTTCAGCCTAGGCTTGAGGGCGAAGCCTCTGTGGACCCTGAAGCCCATGGCCAAAAAGCTCACACTGCCCAGGACAGCTTCTTCGGCCCAGGGTTCAAGCCCAAGGAGATGTACGGCATGAGGAAGGTCTCTCTGCCCGCATGAACAGGGGTCCCTTAGATCTCTCAAATTCAGGCTGTGAGGCCCCCTAAACCCTAAACCCTAAATCGTAAACCCTAAAACCTAAACCCTAAACTAAACCCTAAGCCCAATTTTTTGGGCTCGCACGCCTCCTTCGGCAGTGTAGAGTGGAGTCGGGCCGAGCATACATCATTTAGCACACATTATGTTTGAGTCACGTTTGCCTGTAAGCTTGTCGATGTCCCCCTTGGGGATTTTTTTAAATAAATTTTGTTTATATAAACACACGAGGACATTAAATAAATAAATAAATAAATATATATATATATATATATTGAACTTTTTAAGGTTCTAAGGGGAGTATCGTTGTGGCGGTCTTATAATAGTGCTGCTTAGAGGCATCGCGGCGCAGTTGCCGGTGTGGAGGGCCCAGTATTAGGGAAGCGCCCCCCCCCCCCCCCAAATCGGCCTGCTGAACCAGCAGACGTCGTGGGGGACGTGGTTGTGGAAGTTGTCTCCAGTTTTGCGAACTGGATTGAATCCAGCATCCGCGTCCGGCTCCTCAAATTGTCAACCGGGTGATCACTCTCGAGGCCTCGAGGCTTTTTAGGGGCTGAGGGATGTTTAGGGTTTAGGCTTTTCAGGGCTCAACATGAGATGGAGCGAAGTGCGTTTAGAGCCCGGATGCAAAACACAAAAATCTGTAGAGTAGCTATGAAGCCCCTAAAAGTTTTGGGGGCGACAAGGGCTCGAGGGCATTTGGGGGCTCAGTTTTTTTTTTACCCCCCCTCCGGGCTCGGAATCTTCAGGAGGGTGCGGGGCCCCATTCCCTAATCCCTAAACCCGAAGCCCTAAAGCCTAAAGCCTAAACCCTAAACCCTAAACCCTAAACCCTAAACCCTAAACCCTAAACCCTAAACCCTAAACCCTAAACCCTAAACCCTAAACCCTAAACCCTAAACCCTAAACCCTAAACCCTAAACCCTAAACCCCAAACCAAACCTCAGGAGAGCTCAGGCATGGGCGAGGGAGAGCTGAAAGTGAAGCTGAAGATGGGCGCCGAGTTTGTGGGCACCACAGGCCCAGAGAATATGCATGTTTGCATAATAAACGAATGTGTATACATATATATGTATATATATATATGTACATATTAATATTGTACATATACATTACACCTATGTATGTATACATAGCCATATTTGTTATTCATTTTTGTAGATGTTATTCTCCTGTCTTTACTTATGTACATGTTTTATATTTGCATATATATATATATGTATACATACATACTATACTCTCATATTTATATATGAGAGAGATCAGGGTTTCTTGCAAGAGGGTTCCAGAGCACAAGCTTGGGGTCTAGTCGCTCGCTCTTAGGGTTCCTAAACCATGACCGCGAATCAAACTTCGACCCCCGTGATTCGACTAAAAAGGCTATAAGCGAACAAAAAACTACAACAGCCAAGCCCGATGAGCATCGTCCTGACCTCGGGCTTTGGGCTCAGCCGGCTGATTCAGCCCCAAAGCACCGAATAGAACCTTTTTGTGAGATCTCGCCGGGAACTCGGCAACCTGTCGGCGGCACCTGAAGAAAGAGCACCCATGTAAAGCGACGCATGCTGTGAGGCAGTTTACTTGTCATCATGGAATGCCCTACAAAACGGATCCCCCACATCAACCCGAGTTATGAATTCAGCACAGTAACCCCCCCCCCCCCCGTTCCCCCAAATGTGAGGAAAGGCCCTCTTTCCGCCCGAGTGCTCCACACCCGAGTTCTTGCAGTCGTACAAGAGCCATGGGCTGCAAAGAGCCAGGAGCTTCAAACCCTGTCAGACATGGATGTTCCCCCCTTAGGCTAGCAGCTCCTTAATGGGGAATATAGCAGGGGAAAACGATAATCCCACAATTATTCAGGATATGAAGGACTGGTTAGTAGGGAACATCCCAATGCACTCTGCATTCAATTCAGCAAGCCCCCCCTTGAATGCTGGTGTAGAGTTGTGCTATCGACTCGAGCTAGGATCGCCCTTTCACGCGCAGTTGGGGGTGTGGGGGGGTTTTGGGTTCAGGGTTTAGGGTTAAGGGTTTAGGGTTTAGGGTTTGGGGGGGTGGGTTTGACGTAGGGACGACTGCAATTACAACTTCGATTCAAGACCGAGGAAGATTCTCACCACTGCGAATGCATATGCTGCGGAGATAGTGTGGTGGTGCAACCGGAACCCCGTGCCTGGACAATGAAGAGTCCGTTTGGAAGAGGTGAGGGCCGAAGGTGTACTTGGAGGTTCAACCCAATACTAACTGTACTTATAACCCAATTATAAACAGATTAGGGCACTTAAGGGGCTTATATGTGGTTTGTAATACAATCATGAATTGTTAATAAAACCCATGAACCTCCAAGTGCTTGAGCACGTGAGGGGTACTGCTAAGAGGCTTGGAGGTTCACGGTCAGTTCGAAGTACGGGGTATGACTGTGGGGTCAACCAGGTAAAACTACAGTTGCTGTCACCCTTCGAGTTCTGATGTGACGAGCCATGAACCTCCAAGCACTGTTTCTGCAGCTGGCAAGCTTCAGCGCGCCCAGGTTATGTTTTGTTCTTGTCCTCAGGGCAAGCAAAGTCAAACACCATTATGCTACGGGGGTAGGGGGGTGGAGGCTGGTTTGCAGGGCCCAGTCGGACGCTCAAAGAAACCAGAACTTGGAGATTCCTGGGGTAAGGCTCAAAAACCAATCTCAAGCCCGACCATCAGCCTCCTAGCTACAGCTGCCAGAGCCAGTACTGTGGGCTAAGGACTACATTGCCTGGAGCCACGGCAACCTGAATGTGGACAACGTCTTCTTTTGGCGGGACTCCCAGGGTGCCTCCGGTGGCAGTGCTTGGTCCTTGCCCTTTTTGCCTTGGTTTGGGGGGGCGGGGGGTTTGGGGGATGGTGGTGGGCTGGACATGTAAGCTGCAAAGGGTGTGAGCAAACGTTTTGCCTGCCAGTACCGTAAGCAAAGCATTTTTTCAAGATGATCTTCAGAGCATCCGGCTCCACCCTTCCCCTACAGCGTTTAGAACTTATGTCTTCCTGTTGGGTTTAGCAAAAATGGGTTTAGGGGTACACAAGCGTTGCTCAAGAACCAGGGCTTATGAGAACCCTGACGATGTTTAAAGCAGATCTTCACAGCGCCAGGTGCTCTCGACCTGGGCGTCCTTGACTGGGGAGGCCTGGCCGTGCGCTATCTGCGGAGTTGAACAAATTTGAAATCCATGCATCAAGTTTGCGATTGTTTGCAAACTGCAGTCCGCAAAGCTACGAGGAGTAGCAGCAGTAGTCGTCGATGTCGCAATATTCGTCATAGGAGTAGGAGTAGTAGTAGTAGTAGTAGTAGTAGTAGTAGTAGTAGTAGTAGTAGTAGTAGTAGTAGCAGCAGTAGCAGTAGCAGTAGCAGCAGTAGTAGCAGTAGTAGCAGTAGTAGCAGCAGTAGTAGCAGTAGTAGCATAGAAGTCGTAGTAGTAGCCTGTATTCAACCCGCCGTCGACAGCTTCAGGTTCTTGTCGGGCTTTTCAGAGAACCCCCCAAACTATCCAGGAATCTCTGAACCTGTCGAGGTGCCTCTAGCGGCTCGATGGGATGGAAGCTCTGGTGGTGGCTGTATTGCTGCGAGTACGCGCTGTGGCTGAGATTCGCAATCTCGCTCTTAGGGTTCCTTTGTTGCCGTGGTGAAATTCCTTATTTGAAACACAGCCGGGAGATGCTCTTGAACATTTGAATTCGAACTATTGGTGTGACAGTCAACCTACATAAAGAGATACCCTCTTCTTTCTCCTGAAACAGGCTGAGCGGTCAAACTTTCTGACGTGCAAGGTGCACCTGACTGCCCGTTTGAGAGAACGGGGATGAGGGGCAGGGAGGGGGGGGGGGGCGGAAGGGTCTGCGGTGGGAGGTTGTGCATGTCCCAAACCCAGGAGTTCTTGAACTCCACTTTGGATCAGCTGCTGGACACCTTCATCGCCGAATACCAGGCATGCCCGAGTAGTTCTTCCCCTCAGAGCTGTTTTGGTGCGTACTGTAGGTTCTTTGCCAGGTTTCGTGCTTTCGGCTCCATGTCCAGGTTGCCGAGGCCACAGTTTCTCTCGCAGCTTACAAGATTCCCCAAGTCATCGCAGAACCGCAAGCAAAACGAGTACTGAGTACAGTCTCTGCAAGCCCAAACACAGAGCCTACTAACCTCCTTCCGACTCAGGACCCTTCTCCGAGCTACTCTAAAGCCTTCAACTTCAACCTTAGATGACACCCAAAGTATGTGCCCACCCCAAACAAAGTTCAGAGATTGGGGTACTCTGGTTCGCGACACAGCTAGGCGAACGGAGGCCCTGCGCTGGACCGGGAGGACAGACAGCAGAGTGCTCCAGAGACGGGGGCTTTCGCGAGGGGGCTTTGGTGCTGAACCCCCAAACTTAAACCCTCGCCTCACCCCCTGAAGCACTCAACGCCCCAAGCTTCCCAAACTCAACCCAAAGCACAGAGCCACAGGAGCTGCGATGGCAGTTCACCCTCTCTGCACTGGCACAGGGTGTGGGCTTGC